ATATATATATATATATATATATATATATATATATATATAATAAAATATATGATTTCAATCATTAATTAATTAATTTAATCAATAACTCACTAATTAACTTTAAGCACGAATTGAGTTCACCCTCCATGTATAGTATTTCTTTTCATTATTGTCATTTTTTTGTTTACTTGCCATTTTTTAATAAAAAATAAAAGGTAAAAATAAGATTCAAAATAAATATCTTTTGATAATATATTAAAATCTTTACAAACTAAGTTAGTTAAGCATATATATATATATATATTCAAAGGTTTGGTTGCCGACAGTTTTGAGATCGGACAATTTGTACACGTGGAGCAACTCCGTTGTACAAGTTAATTAGAGGCAAAGCCTCGACGAGTGTTTGCTTCGGCAAAAAGGTTACAAAGTCGTCGACGGCCATAGCACTTGATGGAATCATTTTCAAAGTCTGTCAACTGCTGTGATAACGATTTATGTGGTCAGGAATATCATTGACCGTCAAAAGAGTCACAATCGATCAATATGAATATATTGTTTCCAGTCAACTATTCAAACTTGTTTCTAGTCAAAAGAGTTACGCAATCAAACTATTCACATTAAATTACTTGAATTGTCGTGTATGGAGTTGTAACGTCTGATGATATCACGTTAACCATGGTACTACTATATAAAAGCCATGGTAACATATTTCGTAACGCATAAGGTATTCATCTTATATTGGCAAATCAGATTATACTATGATTAGATCAAACTCGATCAGATTTAAGCTAAATTGGATTTGGTGTCAACCGACGTTAGGAATCCGAGTCAGAATGCGATCGAGATTTCCCAACCCCACTCATCCCCACGGATAGGAAACCCTTCCCAGCAATGATCGCTGTTTTGGGCCGTTCGATCTATCCAAATGTGACAGCTCATCGATCTCGGTCTGAAGCACGATTGCCAATCACACCGAATCACGCGGATCCTGTGTTTCCTGTAACCCATCACTGGCCGTCGGATCCCCATCCGCCTCGCGGAAGGGCAAGGCGAACGGACCTTCTCTCTCCATAAATATACATCCTAATCCTATTAGTGTCCTACTCGACGTATTATTCTGCTTGATCTGTCGTTTGGGATCGTCAAACCCTAGGTCTCGTCTTCTGCTCCGTTCCGGCGCTCGATGGCTCGTACGAAGCAGACCGCTCGTAAGTCCACCGGTGGCAAGGCTCCCCGGAAGCAGCTCGCGACCAAGGTGCGCATCCTCATATCGCGGGCCGATCCGCCTCTCGATTTCGTTTATCCCGAAGGCGTCTTTCGTTAACTTGTTTTTCTTGGACGAAGGCTGCGAGGAAGTCGGCGCCGACGACGGGCGGCGTGAAGAAGCCCCACAGGTATCGGCCCGGGACGGTGGCGCTGCGTGAGATTAGGAAGTACCAGAAGAGCACGGAGCTGCTGATCAGGAAGCTGCCGTTCCAGCGGCTGGTGAGGGAGATTGCGCAGGACTTCAAGACGGACCTGCGGTTCCAGAGCCACGCGGTGCTGGCGCTGCAGGAGGCGGCGGAGGCGTACCTGGTGGGGCTCTTCGAGGACACCAATCTCTGCGCCATCCACGCTAAGCGGGTCACCATCATGCCCAAGGACATCCAGCTCGCCCGCCGCATCCGTGGCGAACGCGCCTAATTCCGGCATGGATTCTCGCTTGGTTAATCTTAGCATCTTTGTTCAAGAGATTTGACCTGTTAAATTAGAGGGGATCATATAGGACTGCCGATCGAATGGTATATGTGTCCATCTTTATTTTATCGGTAACTATTTTGATTGAATTGTGCATGTGTAGATGATTCTTGAATCAAGGATTAGGGTTTTCCGATCGACGACTCTAAATCATGCGCCGCCCGTCGTTTGAAATAGAAGCCTTATTGGATTATTAAGAGAAGGGAGCATGCGGATATTACTATAGAGATGGCATTGGAACCATGGGAAGCAAATCAAGATCGATCTTGGTGAAGACTCGTGATTGTTTCTGCTGTTTAGATGCCCTGTATTTGATCCCTTTTCTCGTTCCAATGCCTGCCAGGTGCTCGATGAAACGACGCCTGCCACCCTTGCGGCATGCCTAACATATACAACATCGTGGGTTTACGCGTCTCGTATTTCTATTGGCACCCGCTTGGACGAGAGCGAAGTTGTTCCTCCTATTGCGTACCCACAGAGTCAAAGTTAGCATAAATTATTTTTATTTTTATTCTAATTAATTATTTTATTTTATTTTTATTTTATTTTATTTTCCATCTTTACCTGATATTATATATATAAAAATTTGACATTGCACTTGTGAAGTTTTCATGTTCAACAAAAAAAAAAAAACACCGTTGAATTAATTTTGGGTTTTGAAATCCTCGGAACGTTAGCGTCGATAAGAATTTTGATGTTGCATTTCTGCAATTTTCATCTCCACCAGTGGTTTAAAATCTTAAATCTTTATAACCATTCAATTTCTATGGCTGTCAACCCCCCAATCTTTACATCGTTCACGAAAAAATATGTTAGCATAACTCAAACGTCATCTCCGTAAGATTTGCTGTTACTTTGTCCATCAGCTAAGTAGACAGACAGACGTTACAGCTTGCATGAGGAAGGAGCGAGGTCAAGCTTCCATGTGACGTTGAGCCAAGCCCACCCACCATTGTAAAGGGAACACGTACTCCCACCATACTAAATGATCTTCCCATGCCGATCGACGGAAGCCCGGTGCCTTGCTGTTCCGTCGAAGGCTTTACCGATACCAAATATGACTGACGGTAACAGTCTCAAATTGACTTCCAATGCCGGCAATCTCACCACCGGTGGCACCAATGTTGACTCAAAATTCGACTGGCCGGGAGAATGGATCGATCACATTGCTCGAGAATTTATAGAAAATGATGGGTATGGTAGATATTGTTGGGTAAACTGCAGCGATTCCAGCAATAATATTTCTTAACCTCAACTTCTCTAATGTGTAAAATCCCATACCGGAGGAATTCATTCACCGTAAAGCAATGCTGCAAGTGCTCGTCACTAAATAGGCTCCAAAGCCATTGGCTTGTGTTTGCCCATCTGTCATGGGAGGAGCTCTATAGTTTAGCCTGTCAACATCTCTCACATGTATACATCAAAAAAAGTGCAACCAGCCAAGATTCATGTGAGCTTGTAATTTATTGATGCAAATAGTAGTACATACCCTTTGTCATAAATTTTAGTAGGCTCACTCAGAGAGGAAATCTCAACTCTCTTGTGGGTGATGATGATGCAATATAAGAATAATCATTTTCTATGATTGAGCTCTATGTTAATTAAAAAGAATGTCAGCTCAATATTTATGAGATCTGTAAAGTTCCTTTGCTGATTGCTGGTGATCTAACATAAAGTTAGGGATTATGTATGAGGAAGGAGGGTCAAAAGAAGAGTTCCAACAAGTGAGACTGTGATCACCAATAAAAACAAGTAATATTCTCTGCATTATCGATGAGCAAACAATATGGCAACTGACATTTTAGCTATTCACAGCTGTATCTAAAGTACAAGCAAACAAAACATCTGATACTTTCACTGCCTTCCCAAAACTCATCCTTTGTTTCCTTGCAAAAGCTCATTGTTGTTCAATCCTCACAGCTCCACCTTGACGTTGGCACACAATTCAAGTAGCGGCACCAGTGGCAATGGTCGTTTCCATTAACTCCCCTGAAGAGCATGACCAAGCTAATTGCAAATCTGCAGAACAAACATGCGGTGAGAATTGCGAGTACCGGATAAACTAAGACTATGGTTGGAATAGCGGCAGTGCCAAATTCAAGCTTCCAACATGGTCACCGTATTTATTTTGACAAACAGTTGGTCGTCGATCGGTAATTGTCAAAGAAGAGTGACAGTTGGTGGATAGTGAAATGAACTTCTATAAAATATAGCAAAATTTGTCAACTGCTACTATCTTTCAAAACTGTGAAGCAGCTAACATTAACACAAGGACATTGCCGTTTGTAAATGCAATGCTAGATGATGCAATTTTATGCATAAAATGGGATCCTTGGAAGAAACTTGTGAAGGATTCTTACCCAGCTATCAGCAAAAGCAACGCAATCACCCATAAGACGCACTGGTATGCTTTGTACTTGGACGTAACCTGAGCTGAAGGGGGCAGATCATCGCGTTCCATCCATCGAACCCGAGGCTGGATTAATAAGACAAAACCCAGGAGGAAACCTGATACGAACCCTCCAATATGCGCAATGTTATCGACATGAGGAAATAGGCCGATACCCAAGTTGATGATAATGATGACCAAAAGCGTTAATAGGGCTGCAACCTACAGAAGAGATAACTTTAGTCCGTCTGTGGTGCTAAACTAAGCTGAAATATTCAAGGATACAAGCCCGATAATCACCCTATTGGAATAGATTGTCCAATTTATAATGAGTTCTGAAAACATTGCTCCAAGAAGTCCAAACAAAGCCCCGGAAGCACCGACGGAGATGTTATTCATCAAGAGAAGAGCTGAGAGAACAGAGCCACCGAAGCCTGACAGCAGATATATCACCCCAATGCGCACTGCATGGCATAAAATTTGTCATGCTAAGAACAACTAAACGAACATTCACAAAATACAGAGAATTAGATGTTTCAGAGACAGCATAGTATCATCATCTTCCATTTCCAACGTCAAATTTTGAGTTAGCACTGAATAACTTGTGTATTTGACATGTACGTACGATAGCCAACTGAAAAGAACCCGAATCCATTTTCTGAGAAGCAAACGGTGGTAGCTGCATTTTCTTGCTTACAGTGACCAAACAAAGAAGATGCTACTAAGGTAATCAATCCACAAACATGCGCTGATCCAATGAATTAAATAGCAACACTCACCGAATCCAAATTGCTGCTCGAGACGAACTCCGATGAAGAGCAAGCTGAACAAATTTGCAAGCAAATGGATGAGACCTGCGTGTAACCAAATACACGTAACAAGCCTCCAGCCTTGATTCTGATAGACTACATTGTTCCATTGAAGAGCCCCCATTTTTTCCAAGCTGAAAAGGACGAGTATATAAGAGGGAAAGAACAAGTTCGCACCAGAAGAACTAGAGACAGCAGCTACACACATATAAGCAAAGAACTTCAAAAGTACTAGACAAGTTAGCCAAAAGCAGAAAAATCCACAATATGGAAAAGAAACTAAACATTAAAAACCAGAGCATGAAGTGTAGAAAGCAATCCAACTTTTCATACCTGAACTAAACAACTTAAAAAGGAAAAAGTGGTACACCTACACACATTCAAGTAAAGAACTTCAACGAGTGCTATAAGCTAGCCAAGCATAAAAATCCAAATCATGTTTATAGACAAGGAAAAGAAACTAAAAGTCAACAAGCAAACATAAGGTGCAGTAGAAAGCAATCAACTTTCCATACTTGAACTAAAGAACTTGGAAGGAAAAAGGTGGTACGAAAATTCGAAGTCCACCGAGCAATTTAAAGTTCCAAAAGCGAAGGAAAAGGATAGAGGATACTGGACGGGGAGAGCAAGAGAAGGATTTACTAGGAGGATCACCAAGAATAACATCACCATGTCCAAGTATTAGCATATGAGTATGAGAAATTTTGAAGACTAACATTTAAACCCGATCAACAAGGGGGACAGAGAGAGAGAGAAAGAGAGAGAGAGAGAGAGAGAGAGAGAGAGAGAGAGAGAGAGAGAGGAATCGAACATTTCGTCCGTTCAGACTGGCAAAAATGTCGCTCGCAAGCGAATAAAAATCCAAACTTTAATCAAAATACCAAGGAGGCAGCAACAGGTAGGTGAGGTTTACGTGGAGGAGGAGGGCCCGAGGAGAGGGTTCTGGCGGATGGGCTGGAAGGAGAAGCGGTGGAGGAAGCGGGCGACGCAGCGGCCAAAGGGTTGGGGGTGATCGGGGCAGTTGTTGACGTACATCTCCACCACGAACACCGCCACGAACGCCACCAAGAGGACCGGCACCAGCCACGGCGTCCAGGCCCTCTCGGCCGCCTCCGCCGGCCCATGACCGTACGCTCTGCCGCCCCGCGGCCGCTTCCCGGCGCCGTCCCTGTCCGTCTCTACGTCAGCCATACCGGTCACGCTCTCTCTCTCTCTCTCTCCGGCGCTCAAAGGTGGAGCCTTTAAGGCCGCACGGTGTGGGTGGCTGACCGCGGGGGTCGCTCGGCTTGCAAGGATGTGAGCTGGTGGAGGTTAAGAACTCACGAAGCAGTGTGAGGAGGCGGAGGACGTAATCGTAATTTTGTTTTCTGCTCTTTTACGGTTTGCCCCTTCCATTTCTATTTTATCGTTGTTTCATCCATCTGTTGACGCACAATCCGCACTCGATCAAAGGACGTAAGATTAAAACTTTCTTTGCTTCTTTTGTTTTGCGGTTTGGCCCCTTCCCATCTCTGTCTCTCTCTGTCTCTGTGTCTCTCTCTCTCTCTCTGCTTTTAGCATCTTTTTAGTTTCATTATTTCTTTATACATACAACAATCATAATAAAACTCAAACCCTTTGTTCATTTTATTGTATAAATAATATGCTAATCAATATTATTATATCTCTAAACCTCGATTTGTTTTGGAATAAATAGTTAGAAATTCCTGCATTTGGTGGAGGATTAAATATATCGATTTTGTTTTTTTTGTTTTAATATTATACACCTCTTTCTTTTGTTATTGTCTATATTGTGTACTAAAACTTCAATCATTTAACTGTGTATAATATGTTAATCACTAAAATAATTTGGTTGCGACCAAATATTAGCATATTACACCAACACAACGACCCTAAAGTTTCAACAAATATTAATAGATTATTATAATTCTTAAAATTTATTCTCTCTCTCTCTCTCTCTCATTGTTGAAATTGGAAGGAGGGGTTGGTGGGCAAGGGATCAAAATCTAAGAAAGAAATTATAGTTGTTGTAATTGTTATGATTTTGGTGGGTAATTTTTTTACTGAAGGGACTAATAATTAAGAGAGAAACGAGCAAAAATGGATTCGGAAAATACCAACTCCTCCTCATCACCTGATCATATAAATCTGTGATCATTACAACTGCTCAACTGTAACTCCAACTCCCATATAAATTATATATGGGGCTTTTTACATATCTATCCTTTAGAAATCCAAAAGTTATATATACATTTGATTCTTCATAATCTAATATGATATTTACATATCTCTCTAAATATTTAGATCTTTCATGCACATCCTTCTAACATTTTAATCCCGCAAATATATTGCTCACATTAACATCCGTTGAATAAACTTAGATTAATAATCACTATCAGCATCCATTTTTTTTAAAAAAATATATTAATATCTAATTTATTTTTTAATTTTCCCAAAGAATAAATTTAAAGGGATAGATATATTATATATATATGATAAATCTGAAGGAATATTTTAGATATACAGCTAAAAAGGTTACTACTGTCTTATGACCTTTCTATACTAACAATTTTTTTTCAAAAATAATTGATCAACATGAATCAATAATGTTTTTATCCATTCCACTAAAAGGATCCCAAGTACACATATACTAAAAAATCAAAACATTTGGAAGATTAATGGGCCCCATAGACAAAATATATCTTCATTTCATCTTTTATTATTTATTTATTGTGATAAAAATGGCATCAGCTGTTCTTGTGATTCACTATAGATCTCCAACAAACAAAAGATGTCTTCATTTCATCCCTTCTTTTGTCGTTTATTGTGATAAAAATGACATTTAGCTGATCTTTTGATTTTAGCTCAAGATTTCCAAGATATCTTCGCTTTCCATGCAGATATCTTTAATTTCCATGTAATACTACATACATCCTCCACCCATCCCATCCCATCCCATCTTGCGGAACATATCTATCCCACTAACCACGCGGCCGACCAAGAGACACTCCCAAGATATTTTTACCTGCCCGCCATCTCTATAACCGAAGTCGGAGCTCGTAGCTCTCCTCCCTGCACGTACAGCTCGAAGCTGTTGGCCTCGTGGCATCGATGGACGCGGAGGAGGTGATGAGGATGGTGACGAGAGGCTCCTGCGGCTGGGCTTGGACGGAGGAGCGGCACGCCTCCTTCCTCAACTGGCTGGAGGAGTCCTTTGTATGGGGCCTCCCGTGCGGCTGCGGCGGCGACTGGATCCTCCCTGACAGCGCCACCGAGTCGACCCGTGACCTCCGCCGCCGCCGCCGCCATGGGCTCGTCGGAGTTCCTCGTCCTGAGTTCAGCGAGAGAGTGGCGAGCAGCTAACTGTTTGATTCTTTGTCTGTGGACTGTTCCGAGTCTGCTTCCTCTTGTGTCTACTGTGGTTGGCTTTGAAATAGAGGCCATGGGATCAAATTAATCATTTTTATTGTTTTGTATTTAATTGGTGACCTAATAATCCATCTCAGATCATCTGGGTTGATGAAGAAGATGAAAGAAAACAATTGTTCTAACAACACTCTTGAGGGGTATGTTAACATCAATTGCATGACATAAACCACTTATTAGGATTTTAAGGATTTCGAGGATCCAATCTCCAATCAACTCTCTATTCCTTTTTCTTCAGGAAAAATGTTTAATCCTATTAAAAAGGAATATTTGCATATGAGTTCCCTATAAAGATAGTGATTTTTTATTTGATTCTTTAAATTTAAGTTAGTATGTATTCCTATATAGAACTTAAAAACTAACATATTCCCCCTTGTACTTACTAATACCCTTCTACTATTTTTATTAATATATTTTTCATGCTTAACAACTGAACATTAAATGTAGTTTAGCTTCTTTGTATATATATATATATATATATATATATATCCTATTCTTTCAATAAGTAAAACACATTAGCTGTCTCTCTTTGATTAGGCAATAAAGGTTAGAGAAGGACAATTACTTGTTCTTAAAATGAGTATTCTTAAGCGAAAAAAAGTGAGAGAGCTCTCTGTTCTTGATTCTCCTGTAGTTGGATTTAGACTTTCCAGAATCACAAGAATCTGAGATTCCAACTTAGTACTTTTGAGATTTTGAGATATTTAGAAGAGTTGCTAATTGGATAGTACAGTAGGATGAAAGTGATAGATTAAGACTAAAAAGACTTGTTAAGTTTCAGTAACATAAACTCTATTTATACATGTGAGAGGAAAAAATTTTCTAATAATTAATTAGCCATATGTACGTGAGAGAGTCTGCTAGTTAATTAGCCATATGTATGTGAGAAACATGTAGTTAATTTCTAACAACTTGATCTCGAACGAAGTGAAAGTCGATGACAATGTCTTTCATGCGTGAGTGGAACACTGGATTGACGTACAGGTAAATGGCTCTGATATTATCACAATATATTGTAGGAGTGAGGGTGGAGTTGATGTCAAGTTCTTTTAGTAGATTTGTGACCCAATTGAGTTCTATAGTAGCAATGGCGATGGCTCAGTATTCAACTTCAGTTATAGACCTTACGACTATCTTCTACTTTTTTTAACTCCAACTGATTGGATTTACTTCAAGAAAGACAATATACCCTAATGTAGATGTTTTATTATTGATGTTTCTTGCCTGATCAACATCGACAAAGGTATAGAGATGAAGTGATGAGTATTTATAGAGAAAATTTATGATTTAGAGTCCCTTTGAGATATTATAGGACTCATTTTACTGTAAACCAATACATAGTGGATGGTTAATGTATGAATTATGATAATTTGTTGACTGCAAATGAAATATTTGAACGTGAAAGAGATAAGTGCTATAAGGAGCCAAGTACTTAGTGATTTGTGTAGGATCCATAGTAGTGCTGTCATTATATAATTTAAGTGATTCAGTAGTAGAAAGTGGAGTAGCAACCTCTTTGGCATTCTGCATGTTCGTCTTTGATAATAGATCTTGAATGTACTTTCCTTGATATTGAAATAGTCCTAAAAATGTGCATGTTGTTTTCACCCTAGAGATTCCTAGAATTAATTTACTAATTGCTTCAGGAATTCCTTGATCTCCATAAAGTTATTGGCTATAACGATAATGTCATCCATATACACCAATAAATATATTGTACCTCCATTTTATCGTCGTAGAAATAATGAAATATCAAGACTAAGCCAGTTGATGACAAAAACAAACCAAGTTCGGCATACCAAGCTTTTAGAACTCGACAAAGTCCATAACTAGTTTTTTGTAGTTTAGTCTTGGATATTAAGGATGGATGTGCCAATCATAGGTCTTGCAAGTCAATCAGGTAAGTGATGACATAGTCTTTTTGCTTATTATTATTATGATATTTTCTCACTTTATATTGTTTGTTGCATACATATATTGTGATATCCATGGATCTGTGCAATAGGAATCAGATCATGATGAGATCACGATAATGAGACTGATTCGCCTTTAAACACAAACCCTAAATCATCCCGGTCATAAGTTACTCAAGAAGGACATCGAGATAACTAGATAAACCGGTGTACTGTATACTCGTCCATATGATGGAGGTGGTTGGTCTCATAGTCACTCATGTGGGGATACTAGAAGTATAGTGCAAGTGCTCATTGGAGAATGAGTTCATTGATTGATTCGATTACAAAATGTTGAATGATTAATGATACCTAACGTCAGACAACGATTCCGTAGTCTCAATTGTGTGTCTGATCCTTAGACTTGATACGCCAAAGGTGTCTTGTATGAGTACTCTATTCTTTGACGCTGGACTTACACGTTTGGAAGTTTCAGATCTGATATTGCTGGTTCTCGAGAATGGTAGTCAACCTTATGAAAGCAATTGAGTGTCGATAGATGATCATTTGCTCTTAGTGTCATGAGAAGAATATCTCATGTGTTCTTGCTCAAACAAATTCTTGGTCAAGGTCATTCGGATTGAGAGAGAAAGAGTTCTATAGGAGAATCCAATTAGAGTGAGACTCAAGTAGAAACTGTATGGGCCTGACAACACCATGTCTGATATACGGTCTTTGGGAGATTAGATGAATGAAGGACTATAAGTACACGGTAATTAAGGACAGACAGGTCCAATGGATTGGATTCTCCTGTATCATCTAGGAATTGTAGTGTAGTGATCTAGTATATTTGTAGTCGATGAGTTAAGTGAATTATTATAGAGATAATAATTCACTAAGCCAAAAGGAATTATGATAGGTATAACTCATGGCCAGCTCGATATTGGGCCTAGAGAGTCACACATATATGGTAGG